CATGTTTGTGGTATTTGTATGACTCAAAATTTTGCACACACACTCTCTCCATCTCAATAATCAAGCCAAAAAAAAAAAATTCAATTTGAACCCCTAGATATTGTCAAAATGAATTCACCTCCAACAACGAATCTAGACCATTCATTTGGTGAATTTTAAGATATTATCCTCTAGAAACTCAAAATCATTTTTTTGTTTTTTGACATTGTTCATCTAATGATAATAAAGCCATCTAAAAAAGTTGGAAAAGAAAAAATACCTCTAAGGGCTAGATCTAAGCATCTTGTCAAAATGAAAGGCCTATGTTAATTGAGCTAAAAAAATACTTTCTAGGTTAGGTTTTCAAATTTTCTTTTTTGTGATTGTTCATTAGAGTGAAAAGCGTATATATTTTAAATTTTGGATCAAACAAATGGCCCTAACATTATTTTTGAAGATGGTGCATCATGCTATGATACAACTGTTGCATGAAATCATTGCCCTTTTTTCTTTTGTGTTGCATCTTATCTTTTATGAATTGAGTTCCACATAACCATTCACTTTTGGTACAAGGAGGTCATAATCACTCTTAGCCATTGGATCTGAAGTGTATCACAACATTTGAGAAATTTTATTTTGTACTTTGTGCCCACTCATTGACACATCTTCAACCACCCGATTTCACATCTAGCAATCGTGAACATTTGTGACCTCCTTATACCAAAAGTAAATGTTCTTATGGCATATACATTTCTTATCTTTTATACTACATCATTTTGTATTGGTCTTATTGAAGACTCGGATTCTATGTGTGTGATGATTATAGGAACTATGAATTGTGGACTATACCACTATGGAGTATGGACCCTAACAAGCTAGGATAGTAGGTGAAATAATGGGAACATTTGGGTCCATTGCCTCTTTTTATCCATACCAATGGCACATTGGGCTTGAAGTATACTGAGACCTTTGAAGTGAGATGATTTTTGATTCACTACCTCTTTTTTTATCAATAGTCCTAGATTTAATTTGCAAATCAATAGGGGATGGAGGACGGTGGCAATTATACAATCGCTGAAACCTTCCAAGTGAATGATAGATGGTTTGTGAAAGGCTTCGGAGAAAAACCTTAAACTGATTATTTTTTTTGTAATTTCTTTATCTGCATATTTGTTTAGTTTGAAAGTGCTTGCTTAGTTTAACCATGATACTTTTGGTAGAGGGAGGAGGTGGGCATTGGGTTTTGCTAGAGTGGGATTAAGTATGTGCAACCTATTGCTGGGGAGTGGCCACCATGTTGATCACAATGATATCCATGAAGAAGTCTTTATTTTTCTAGTTTGTCATATTAGGTATGGAAAAACTGATTGATGTGAGAGCCCTGGGGTGAATAAATAATAAAAGCTAAAACTAGAACATTTTTTGGCTTACTTTGAAATGATTATCAGAAGATAATGGTTGTTCAAGGATCCCTTAATACATTATATCAGATATCAATGAAAATTAAGAATGGCTTTAAAAAGCACTCATCTTTTGACGTATTTAATACCAAACTAACTGCAGGATCAAGCCTATCAGTTAAAAAATAATTATGGAGGATAATTCCTCATGTATGGATGACATTTAGGGTGCAGCAGTTAGTATATATAACCTAGTTAGGATGTTGATAAAAAGGAAGAAAAAAACAAACTGGTTGTTGGAGTATAAGAGCCATCATGATATAAATAACATATGCTAGAAAGACCAGGACGGAAATAGATATTACCACTCCATTCAATGATCAATTGGAGTTGGTGCCATCTTGGTTGGGATGCAAGGAAGAAACAGTCTCAGGCATGTAACTTGTCCTTTCTGTGTTTCAGTAATCTTAAAAAGAGCATTTGCGACCTTGTCATGGACAAGTGCAAGAGGAAAATTGGCCAATAGAAGAGTCAGTTTTCATCCTTTCGGGGCACAAGGACACTCATGAAGCAACTTAGAGCAACAGTCTGGTAATTAGGTCTACTTTCTGTCTCTTTTTTATGTTATGGCTAGTGTTGGTCTAGAAGCTTTAAAAGGATTCAAAGAGAATTCTATAAAAATAAGCATTCTAAGGGGCGTAAGTTCCATTTAGCCAAGTGGAGGGGTGTTAGTAGGCTGATGTTGATAGGGGGTCAGTTCTAGTGATTAGAAGTATTAGAGTTGTTAATAAAGCATTATTGGGAGAGCAGGGTATTTGTGGTTGTATGTGGATTATTCAAGTCTTTGAGACTTGGGAGTTAATGTTGGTTGTAGTAGGATGATCAGTGTTCGGATATTTGGGTAGGGTACGGTACTCTTGCATGCGGGGTGTGGCATTAGTAGGACTAATGTTTAAAGGATTACGTTTGAGGTTGGGGATGGAAGTGGGGTTCAGTTCTCTGAATGACTTTTAGTGTTGGAAGCTTCCTTTCAGGAAAAAGTCCTACATCTAGATCATAAAATAGACGGACATTGAAATTTGATGTTCATTTTCTAGGTGATAATTCTTGTCGTAAAAAATTTAAGCAATGAACTTATCTTCCAAAAAATACTTGGATGTGTGTTATTTTGGATGGAATTTGCTCATGGATAAAATCTAGATATAATTGGATAGATTGACGTATTATAATCTCCTTTAGATAAAATAGTGAGAGGGCTAATTTTTATTTTGCTACATGAAATCGAGGCTGTAAAAGTTGCAAGATGCTACCACGATGGTTTTTGCTTGTTGTACCTGGGCCACTACTTGGTTGAAGTGGTTTAGGACACTAGGGAGGGGCAGCATTCTAAACTTCCCATCTATCAAAATATGCTTTGTGCAATAGTTCTTTATTTGCTTATCTGGTTTCTTCAGGATTTTCTTGATACAGTTAATCCTTATAGGCTTTTTGCTTTACATGTTCTCTTAGGTGCTTATGTTCTGTTAATAATCCTGAGGCTCTGCATCTGGTACTCCGTGCCTTCTTGATGCATGAATCTTTTTGAGTAGCTATATGGGTATGAGGAATACATTGTTGGTGATTGTTATCTCTCTTCTTTGAAGTTTGTTGCAATAATTATATAACTAGACATAAATACTTTCCCTTTAAAAATGGGTTATTGTTCATGAGTGAAATTTATTTATATGTGAATGACAGGATTTAAGAAGTATTCTGTGCAGTTAACTCTCTGTTGTGTGGGTGGTTAATTCCTCTTGGAAGGTTCAATAATATTAATTCTTTTATCCAGTTTACACCTACATTGTTTTCCTTTTTTTTTCTTTTTTTTTTTTCCTTTTCATTTTACATGTTTATCAGGCTAAAATATGTGTATGTATACAATAGCAGGTATGCAGAGCCAGCTTGTTTGCAGTGGATGTAGAAGCACTCTTCTTTATCCTCGAGGAGCAACTAATGTGTGCTGTGCAGTATGCAATACGATAACCCCTGCTCCACCACCTGGTCAGCCCTTTTTGTTTCCCTACATCGCCTTGCTATTTCATTGCCCAAGCATATATATATATATATTTATCTCTTGATGTTCATGGTTTCTATGATGAGCAAATAAATCTCTATGGATTTTAATAAAACACTGATTATCGTGTATGACGAAGTCTGTTGTGCTCCTCTAAAGTTGGATTTAAGATCCCCTGTTGTTTAATGTGTTTGTAAGATTGTGGTGACATCTTTTACTTCTTTTCAAATAATTATCTTTGATTGTTTATGTTTAATAAGGAATATACAGGCACTTTTTGTTACTTGATATGGATACTAACAAATTTATTGATATGATAAAATATACTAGCAATTTGAAAACTGAAAATATAATTTATACGGGAGACTACTTATCGAAAGATGATAAAATTACATGGGAGATAGTGATATGGATAAGGGTTTGAGTAGTTTGAGCAGTGTTCAAACCCCATCCATGGTAACTGTGAGTAGATGCTTTCCAAAGTTCCAAACTTGAGCCCACTCGCCCAGTCAAATATCTTACTTGGAAATGCTCATTGAGCTTTTTTATTTGTTCTGTTAAAAAAGAAAGAAAGAAAGAATAGAAGGTGGTTTAATTGGGAAATGAACCCAGCTTGTCCCCTATGTCATGCTACACGAGTAGCATGCTGGAGTGAACCATTTTAATGTCATAATGTGTGTGTGTGTGTGTGTGTGTAAGGTTGAACATTTTAAGTTGTGAGATCATAGCCACATCTTGAGTTTCCATTTGTAAAATTTGATCTCTGGATGAGACGATTTGACCAGGCGAGTTTTCCTGAATTGAAACGAGTTTTGTCTCAGTCGAACGTTGAAGATTGAAATGTTGCATAAGTTTTACTAATACTATTTGCCTGTATCCACCTTGTTTTTCTTGTAAATAAGTTTGACTCGGGTAACAGTATATTATTGTCTTAAAACTCATTATAAATGTTATTTTTAAAATGTCGGAGCTTGTAACATAGGAAACCTTTTGACAATTTTTTATTTTTTTTAATATAACTTTTGACAGTTTATCTGCTTATCCATTTGACTGTTTCATCATCATCATTATCCAATCTTGATCCCAATTATTTGGGATCGGCTACATGAATCATGTTCTTCCATTCTTCCCTATATCTATTTTACTGTTTGTTGTTGTAAAATTGTTTTACATTGAATTTATGAACATACATGAAAAAGCAATTAGAAGATATTCCTTTGACTGATAGAGAGGAACAATATGGCTAAGGACCTAGAGTTCAGAACCTCCTAAAGACCTCATTTTGAAAACCTAGAAAGTAGCTGTGTTTTTTTTTTAGGCACTAAAATTGTCACTTTGTTTTCTTATTCACATTCCTTTTTGGGATACAATTAATAACGCAAGAATTTTGTTTGGTATGGGTTCCCTTTACCAGGCATACTAGTTTCAGATATTGTAGACAATTATTTGAGGGACTTCTTGTGATAATTGTACCACTATCTAGAAAATGTGTGCAAACCTAGAATAGAACAAAATGTGTGTAAAACCTACAACATAAACCCATCATATACGTTTGATTATACCAGTGTCTACAAAATGTGTATAGCATAATAGTCTGCCATCCCATATCCTCAATGTCTCACCAGCGGATTTCCTAGATGAACATCTACCTACTTCCGGTTTTTGGCTCTTGGATCAAGTCCATGTCCCCTCTAGTCACCTCCAACCTCTTACCTAGCATTGCCCATGTCCTGTAACATTCACTAAAATGTCTTTGCGTTAGTTAAGGTTCCCCTACCTTCCCACTATCTACTGCCAGTGCACATAATCAAATGTTCTCAAATGCACTTACAAGAATATGTGCAGAAGATTCTCTTTGTTCTAAATATTTATTCCATCCAACGTTTTAAAAAAACGGAGTGGTGACCTGAATCGGCCCCACTAAAACCTAGGTCGTATCGGAAATCCGGATCGGAGAATCATGAAAATTTCTCAGAAATCTACCTTTTTAGGTTTCTAAAAGAAAAAAATGGTATTGCATTATGGTTTTTCATTATTTTAACGAGAATATGTAAATACTGTGAATCTCCGTGGGGGAAGGGGGGGGGGGAGAGAGATTTAAAGGAGATCACTTTAATTTTCAATTTTTTGTGAAGGATGGATAAAATATGCATTTTAATTTTAAAAGAGAGCATTAGATTACGGAATATTTTTGAGATAAAACCCAACCAACCAACAAAGAAAAGTTGAATTTTGTAGTTACCACATAATACAGAGAGAGAGAGAGAGAGAGAGAGAGAGAGAGAGAGAGAGAGAGAGAGAGAGATAC